TTTGCCCTGCCCATAAACACCCAGCCTGACATCTGGCTAACTCAGCTGCTGGCTCTCCCCATGGCCAGAAGATGGTTATCAAATAAGAAAACGAAAGCTGGGCAAGTCAAGGTACAAACCTGTTTGGTTGAACAAATAGATATTAAAGCCCTGTGCTAGGCACACACCCTACAGTGATTTTTGGTACAAAAATGTGCCTTGAAGAGCTCACAACCTGGGGAAAAAAAACAAACAGCCAAAGTCAATAAAATGTGGCAATGACAAGAGAGAAGAATGCAAGGGCTACACTGGGAGGCAAGACGAGAGTCCCTATCTCCTGGAGGGACAGGAAGGCCTCATGGAGAAGATGCTGTGGGGTTAAGTTTGAAAGATGATGTGAGTCAGCAAGATACAGGAAGTTAAGAAATGTCACCAAAGAAAGGATTTTGAAGTCATTTGTTCTCAGTGTCTTATGATCAGTTCCCTGGACAAGGACCCAGTGGGCACATTAACCAGTGCCCTGACTGAGGCACTTGGGCACTGGGAGGAGGGTTGATGGGCCCTGGAGGCAGCAGATGAAGGTACAGACATACGTCTGGAACCTGATGGGTTAACAAAAACAGATCTCAGACCGACTCCAGTTCTGGCACCAGGAGTGCCCGATTGAGTGCCCCCATCCATAGTGTTCCTGTCTCGTTCTCCTAAGCCAAGTGTCCCTGTCTCCTGGAACCTCAGACAAGCCCCTTCCAGGATTGTATTTTAAAGGGAAATGCAAATCACCTGGAGGCTGCTTTGTGCCTGGAAGAAGTAAAAATCGATTCTGTTTTCGTTAAAGTGATTTTTTGGACACTGTCAAAAGCTCTCATCTCAGAGCACAGGGTGACAGATAGGCTGCCGATCTCAATTACGTAACTGAGCCGACCGGGCAGCAGAGGGCCATCTCATCAGGAGCAGACGCGGCTCCACGCCATTCCCAAGCCCAATTCCCCTTCTCTAAGATACCCAAGAGGGACCCCATTCCATTCAGGCCTGGAACTTGCCTTCTACAACCCTTGTGGATGCCTGCTCACAAGGCTCTCCTTCCACATGCTCTCCTGGTCCCCACCTGAGTTGCCCTGAGGGACTGGCTGGGGCAGTCCAGGCCCACCGTGAGGCTAAGCAAAGTCAACCAAATGAAGAAGGGAAATCTGCTTTGAAAAGGTTTATGTCACATAATATACATTCTCCAACTAGTTACGTTGGTCTTATTGAATATTGGGAGTTCTATGTTATCCCTTCCCCTCTGCTAACTCAGATAATTGGGAATTTATTTTATTTATAGCATCAATTATGAATATGGAAATTAATCCTTGAATGCTGAATTTCCGGAATTCAACTGTCAAGGAAGCGCACGGAAAGTCTGGGCAGAGCTCCGGGGTCTCTCCCACCAGCACAAGAGGCTGTAAAGGAAAGCCACCCTGAAGCCCAGGTGGCAGTTTGGACTGTTATTGTTCTTGTGTGTTGAAGGAACGTGAGAACATTAAATAAATGGTAATCATTGGCTCCAGGAGATCCCTCCCTGGGGGATGCTAGTAACTCACTGGCAAAGTGCTGGAAAAGCAGGCAGAGATGGCAACGGAACTAGGAAGAGCCAGCGCCTCCCCTCAGCACATCAGCCCTCATCCTGTCAGCCAGCCCAGCTCTGCAAAGCAGCTGAAGACCGTCCTTCCACAAAAACGGAGCTTGGGAGAGGAGTAGGGCAAGGGCAGTCTGGAGACAGGAAGAGGTAGGTGTCTGCTGGGAGGTGCTGGAAGCAGGGACACTCTGGCAGAGAACTGGTCCTTGATATCCAACGGCCACTTGAGGCTCAACTGCCAGTGCAGAGTCAGACAGAGATAGGCTTTTCCCAGTGGTTGAGAAAAGCTACAACTAGCCAGTGAACGTGCTCAGGACAAGCACCAGCCAGGGGAGAGAAAAGGTTTCCCCAACTGAGTCAGCAAGTCCTCTAGTAAGAACAGCATCTCCACAGTCCTGCAGAGCATCTCAGTGGACAGATCAAGTCACCAAGTAAAGGCCTCTCTCCCCTCTTCCTGGGAACCAAGGCTTGGATCTATACCCTTAAGAGAGAACAGATATGTCCAAAGGGGACTGAGGATAGCATCGGGCCAAGTGAATGGAGCAGGAGCCCCATTTAACCCGACCCATCCATTAAAAAGCCTTTTGTCAAGCATCTGCTATGGAGAGTCAAGCAAAGGAGCCTGGTAACGGTGCCAACTGCCAACTTAGGTCAAAGTCAAAATAGCCTGATCCAGCACTGAGCTCCACCAGCCAAGATGGAGGGGGGAAGAAGAGGCTGCTTTCTCGTAACGTATCTGAGTTTAAGGAAGACACTACTGAATGGTTTCCTTTCTTGCCCAAGTGGTTCTCCTCCCAGAAGTGAGACAGTTTAATGCATGGGGAAGGAAGACAGACTTGTTTACTGTAGGTGTGGGGTGAGCAAACCCACAGGCCCAGGGTTGGGGAACCATGCTTCTCCCCGATGCAAGCATCCTTCTCTTCATTTTTCCCTTCACTCTTAGAGTCTATCTGCTCACCCGTCTCCATCCTAAGAAAGTAAATAGGAAGCCAAGACTGTCCAGCCCTCATGCTAGACTTGCCCCTTGAACTATAGGGCAAATGCTAAAGGAAATTAGCTGTTTCTCTGGCAGCAGTAAAACACTGGATCTTGCTACGAAAGCAGCCTTTAATATCTAAAGCAGTACTTTAAACTGCCTAGAAAGAAATGTTTCATGTATAAAATTTCTGTGCCTGGTACAGTGCCTGAAATGCAGTACTCACTGAGCAGATGTTTTCTGGACTAGTAATATGACCTGAATAGAATATCATACCCTGAGGCCATCTAAAAAGGCAATAAACCTGAAGGTCTGATTTCTATCTCTGGGCCCTGGTGGATTGAGAACGAGTGGAGTGACAGAGTGAAAAAAAAGAATGGGCAGAAGGCCCTAGCTTTTGAAAATTAGCTCTGCCCTTTATCTGTGATTATGGGAAATTTACTTAACCTCTCTGAGTCTCACCTTTTGTATCTTTAGAGGGTATAGAATTGTTCCTACTTAGCAGGACTATTGTGAAGACTCAGAGCTAATATATGCAAAGTGCTTAGCACAGTGCTGACACATAGTAGACACCCATATGTTGTTCTACTAATAATAAAAAGTAACGGGCAGGTGGCCAGTGAAGTTTCCATTGATGTCCTCTGAAATGATTTAATTTTAATTCTGACATCCATCAGTCTACTCAGGGTTTATTCCTATAAAAGTTTCTCCCTCTGTTGTCATGAGTCCTATCAAAAGAAACCTGAGGACACTGGGCAGTCAGGGCCATATCAGGAGAATACCTTGGGATCTGGGGTGTGTGTCCCTGGCCATGGGTGAGGTCCCCTTCAGGAAGGTGAAGGGATGGTCTAGTAGCCACAAAAGTGCCTCTTTCTCCTGACAGCAGTCAGCTTCCAGGCCCATTTTATACTTCAATATCCCAGTATGCCCAAAAGCTCACATCTACCACTTGAACCAGGAAAAACAAAGTCAAATAACCCCAAATTCTTACCCACCCCGGGCGAGCAGCTACTTGAAAAAGAGAATGTGTGTGTGTGTGTGTGTGTGTGTGTGTGTCTGTGTGTGTGTGTGTGTGTTGGAGTGGGAGGAAGGGGCAGGGAGGCTTCTGTTAGACACAGAGGTAAAGAGAATGTCCCAATTAAATGTGGCCTTCACAAATGGATTATGACACCCCTTGCTCCCCCCTTCCCCTCCCTTGTGGGAGAATGACAAATATAATCATTTTAAAAGGTCCCATCACCTGCTCAGTCATTCCCAATAAGCATACACAGCACTATGGAAAAACCGACACCACCGCCATGGGGTTCCCGCCAGGAAAAGAAATCAAATCACCAGGATGCCACCAATGGAATTGTCAAAGACCAAATAAAAAGTGTCATGAATTCTCCATCAGCAATATAACGCTCCCTGGCCTAAGCAAATATAGACCCAGCATATGAACTGTGGAGGGATTTTGCATTAGCCTCAATGGCTTCCGACGCCTGAAGCAGAAACCCCTATGAAATCCATGTCTCCATAAAGATGCCTTTATTGGCTCTCATCCAGTTAGGGTGAAGACTGTAATCTCCTTCCTGAGTCCCCTGCCTCTGATGGAAAGCTTCACATCCCTGCACCATAAGTACATTTCTGTGACCTCAGTGAAGAGGAGTCCTCCTAGAGTTGGAAGAGACAGAGTCCCCTGAGACCTCCCTGAGCACCTCTCCCTTCCTATGATGATGCTGCCGCTTCTGTCTGACCATGTGATCCATTCAGATGATCTCACTGCTACCAGGTGGGCCAGGTCATTCCATCATTGATTCAGGCTGAGAAAACAAGACTTTCCTCCTTTAATGAGAAAAGAGAAAACAGGTGCCTCACTTTTTAGGCAAAACCCCAGTTCAGGGTCACTTAGAGAAAGTCTGCTCAGAGCGACTGAACCCTTGATCATTTGTGGCGGCAGAGAAAAAAAAAATAAGGCAAATGAGAAAACAGCTGGCAAATATACTAGGAAGAATCCAGAAAGAATGCTCTGGGTGTCTTCTGGGAAGGGAAATCTACACCTTCATTACCACATTCACTGAACTTCTCAGAGCCCTCTTCCTCCCCACGACAGCCCTTAGAGGCGCAGATGCTCCTAAGGATACAGCCATCAACTCCCCCAACCCCACATCACACACACACACACACACACACACACATAATGCATGGCTGACAAAAGAAATAGTGACTTAATTTTCCACCTTTTATAAAACACATGCCCCACCCCCGAAAAGAATCAATTCAGAGCAGCTCACACGCCTAAACCAACCACTCATGTTCATTTTCCCTGGTGGTGATGCTCTCCGACTTGGATGAGGCACTCCCTGCTCCTCTCCCCAGGCCTGATACCAATCCAAAGCTTCACGGTCCACCCAACCTCCACCCTCGTGGAGTCTACCAGTGCTGACTTACCCCAGTGTGGTCATGGTGACAATGGTGTACCAAAAAGAGGCTGGGATGCTTGTGAACTTGCTGGCAGAGGAGCCCTTCTCGGCGTAAAACATCACAGTGGCAAAGATGATGATGGCCATGGTGAGGGAGAAGAGGAGAAAGCCCAGCTCCGAGGCGCAGCTCTTCAGGGTGTAGCCCAGGATCCGCAGGCCCTGGGAGTGGCGCGAGAACTTGAAGATCCTAAAGACGCGGAAGACCCGGAGCGTGACGAAGGCCCCGGACACGTCCTCGTTGTTGGTCATGACCAGGCCGATGTAGTAGGGCATGATGGCCACCACATCGATGATGCTCATCACGCTGCGGATGAAGCGGTAGCGGCTGGGCGCCGCGAAGAGCCGGAGGAGGTACTCCACCGTGAAGATCATGACACAGGCAGTGTCCAGGCAAAAGAAGGCCACCGAGTAGCGCTCTCCGCACGGCAGCTCCTTGCTGCCGGGGACCGTGCCACAAGGCACCGTCTCCACCACGTTGGTGATGACCGAGACAGCAATGAAGAAGCCAGTCACGTAGTAGAAGACCAGGGCCAGGGTGCTGGTGTGCGGGTTCTCGAAGGCGCGCCACATGGTCTGGCGGAAGCTGAGCGAGGGCATGGACTCCTGGTTGTTCTCGGAGTCGTTGTCGTCCATGAGCCGCTCGGCGTTCTCGCGCTTGCGGTCTTTGTACTCCTCGTAGCAGCAGTCGCCGATGATCTCGGGGAGGATGCCGTAGAAGGCCAGCTCGTCGTCGTAGGCGGAGATGCACTCGTAGCGCGGGTAGTGCAGCTTCCCCGTGCGGTAGAAGTTGAGCACGCAGCGGAACACTTCCGGGTCCCGGTCAAAGAAATACTCCTTGGTGTCCTCGTTGAAGAAGAATTCCTTCTCGGTGCTTCCCAGCAGCGTGTCCGGGTAGCGCTCCAACGTGGTCCTCCAGGTCTGGAACCGACGCCCGCTCACGTTGAGGACGATCAGCTCATCCTGTCGCTTGTTCTTGTCGGCCGGGGCTAGGGGCATGGGGCAGTTGGCCACGGGCATCCACCCAATGGCCGCAGCCCGGGCGAAAGGCAGCCAGGCTGCAACTCCAGCCGCCATGGTGACTCCAGCTCTTGGGCCGGGAACTGCGCGGACACGTTGCACACCAGCTTGGAGTTAGCTCGGCGACCCCTGGGAGACAGGAGAGAGCAGAGAGAGGAGGGCTGAGTCCATCTTGAGTCACCGGCAGGAAAAAGAACAGAGGAAAGGGTCACTGGTGGGTGAAACAGTCTCCAAGACGACTTGATAAAACGGAAACCATCACAGAGAGGGGACTTGATTTTTTTTTTTTTTTCAGTCCTCCCCACTTAGGGAGCACACCTAGCAGGGGGTGGGGCATGAGGGCGGGATCACCAGATGTGGCTGACTGACAAATTGTCAAGTTCCGAGAGGGCTCAGGAGCATTTGGAGGGAAAGCCTCTTTAGCAGGAAGATGTGGGAAGACTCGGGTAATAATCAGCTCTGAAAGGTTATGGCGTTATTACGAATTTAAATTGGGAGAGGGTAAATGAGTTCTCATTAAACGAATTTAAAAGTGGGATAAACATGCTAATTTTTATTTCACTTCATCCACCAGGGTAATCAGGAATGGGGTGTGGATGAGGGAGATCAACTAAATATATCCTTTCTACTCCTCCTCCCTGGGGGGGGGGGAGAGGCTGGGGCTACCCAGGTCTGGAAAATTCTCTGCCACCCACAGGTGACCACAGTAGGCCTAGCTTAGTGAAGCTCTGTCCTCATCCTCTGGGAGGAGTCTGTCTCTGACAGAATGCTACTTTTGGGGATACTTGGTCTTGCTTCTGTCCCTGTTAATTTAATGTCTAATTATGCCCCTAAGAACCCTGATGGAATGACATAGTTGTGAGGCTGGTCAGGATCTCTTGGATTCTTGGTTCACCTGGCTTCCATGTATTGTCCCTCTCCCTCCCCAGAGGAAGCTGATCTAAGCCCTGCCATCCCTATCCTATATTCCTTGCTTCCCATCTCCATCTGCCCAGCATCCATAGCTCCTTCTAGTTATATAACAATACTCCTTCCCAAGCCATCCTCTCTCACCTGGCCCTGCTCCACCCTTGGAGATTCCTCCAGAGCTGGGCCACTTTGTCCCTTCACCCACAGCTCTCTTTATTTCCCTATCACCTGCATGAATGGAGAGGACAGTGGCATGGAGAATTATATTTGGCTTTGGGAAGCACATTTACCTTCCCAAATCTGGCTTTTTAAAGATGATAGTGAAATGACTCTGCAATCCCCAAATGTACACCATCTGTAGGAAGACATGTGGTGACACAGAAACACACGTAACAGCGACGGAAAATTGTTTGGGGTTGGCACACTCATCTCCACTAATCCTAAACTGATCACACAGAACAAATCCTAACTCAAATTATTTGGATCCTCTGGAACTCACTTGATTTGACTCTGTGTTTAAATAAACGAGGCAGAGGTGAGTCCTGGAGTTTTTTCTGTTACACAAAGACTTGTAGTGGGATTTGATCTTCATTATTGCTCTCTAAAATCCTGCTTGATCTTCTGACTCCTGGCTCATCTAAGTTTCTCTTGCTCTGAAATGCTACTGGACACTTCCACCTGGATGCCTTTGAAAGTGGACAGGTTTACACTACCTCCTTGCAAAAAGGTGTCCTTTACCTTTTGCTTAGCATTCCTAACTCCAGGCCTGTCACCTGGCACATCTTTTTCATAGTCCCACCCCAAGAATTGACAAATAATGAAACAGCTGCTCTTAATGTCTTCGTGATGGCCCAGATTCCCTCCAGCCTCCTTCCCACTGGAATTCTTATCTCTCACTCTCACCCTCCACCTCATTTCTCCTGTCCCCCTGAAATCTATTCTACTCAAAGGATCCTCCCCAAAGCAAGGTTCCAATTGTGTTTTATCCCACAGCCTGTAAAATAAAATCCAAACTCCTTGGCCTGGCATTCCAGCATCTCCACAATGGATCCTGGATTAACATTCCAGCTGAACGGCCTATGCACCTATCCTGGCCTCCAGCAAAATGAGCACTAGCTCGTGAACGGACCTGGGGAAGGTTTGTCTCTAGGTCATTCATCCTTCTGTCAGGAGTATCCCTCCCCCTCACCCTGCCTATTAGAATCCTACCTGTTCATCACCTTCCCTGAGATGCCTCCTCATCTCCCCACTGTAAGATGCTTTCCTTCCTTTGGGCTCTCAGTATTTTGCCTCTCTACTTTAGTGCACACCACCCTCTGGCCAGGATTGCACCTTCTTTACATACATCTTATTAATAATAATAGCTAACAGCAATTTAACACCTATTCTATGCAAGCTTTGCACCATTTCCCATGGTTTGTGTCACTGAATCTTCACAGCAATCCTAGGAAGAAGAGTCTATCATGTCTCTTGCTTCATAGATAAGAAAAACTAAGGTTTACAGTTACAGAGCAGTCTAGCAATCCCCAAAGTGGCAGCACAGAGATTCCCTTGCCAGCAGTTTACTGAGCACTGATCATGCCAGGTACAGGACCCCATGCTTCCATGCCTCATCTCCATCTAGCCCATCAAAAGCCCTGTGTGCTACACACCCTCCTAGTCCTCATTTTGTGGATGAAGAAAAACAAGTATAAGGAGTTATAACAATTGTCTAAAGGATGTGATAAGGACGCAGAGAGCTTTAAACCCAGGCAGTCTCAATGCAGAGTTACAAGTGCAGCCAGGCCACTCCCTGGCTCTCCCCAGCCCACACTAAGCTCTTTAAGGGCAAAGGCCATGACACCTCAACTTTTCCATCATAAGCCAGGAGAAGCACAATGCAGTGCAGGAGTAGGCACTCAAGTTGGCACCATTTGTGGTCCATTGATTTTACTCTGTGCCTTGCTAATGTATTTCAGGGACATCAAGGGTGGGTGTTCTTTCTCCAAAAGATAGTGGATTCTGAAGACAGAGCTGAATCAAAAGAACCCTAGAATTGAGTGTCTGCTTCTGACTCACTGTAGCCTCAGTCAGGGATCCTCAAGGAGCTGGAATCTGCCTCAATTATCCCCCCTGCACACCAAGGGAAATCTCACAGGTCCCTCTGCTCCCTAAAAAAGGGGGGTTGATCCAGATGCTACAGAAGACAACAGCAAAGACAAGGATATTGCCCATAAGTGTCACCACTCAGAGAATAGAAAAACAGCACAGGCCTGATGGGATCTTGATTAGGGAAACCAAGAGATGCAAGGAATGAATGGGGATCTTTTATCCAAGACAGTGGGTAGCCCACATGCCACTAACAAAAGATGCAGGAACACATCCTGCATTGTTTATCTTTCTTCAATAAATTTACCCTCATAATGAATGAACTATGCTTTTTTTTTTTTTTTTTTTGGACAGGAGATTTTACTGTCCCTCAGCACGCTTGGCTAATTTTCCAAGAGACCAGGGAGCTGCTGGGAAGCAAGCCCACAATCTAGACGTTGGTCACAGAGGTTCCAATTCTGACTTAGGTAATGTTTACTGAGCACTGACAATGCCCTGGGCACTGTGGGAGGCACTTTTCTATATAGCACTGAACTTTTTTCCACAAAAATCCTATGATGTTTCTGCCCATGGGAATCAGAAAATTTCCTTCAAAGTGACTAAGTTTCACGTATACAGGAATTGACAATTTTTAAATAGACCATTCATCAGCTCACTACCAAAAGGCTTTCCTGATCTAGGTATGGCCAAATACGACATTCCTGATAGACAAGGGCAGGATACAGAGACTCCCCTCCCTGCCTTCCCCAGGCAGCAGATAGCAAGGGCTCTGGAGAACTTGCATTCCTGTTTCAGTGCTATCCTGAACCTGTAAGCAAACCACTGTTACCCTCTGAGTCTCAGAGTCCTCATCTGTGAAATGAAAGAATGGGACAAGAAAATGACAGGGGATCCTTTGGTTCAAAAAATCTCCAATTCTACTGGATCCAGGACATCAGGAATGTAACTCTGGTCTCACTGAGACAGCCTCATGACAGCTGGCCGTGCAGAGCGGGAAGTAGAGCATCTGGGCTTGTTGCTGTGGGGATGCAATTAGCCTGAGCTTCGTCTCAGCAGAGGGAGTTCTGGGAATTACTGATGAGGCTGGTGCCCAGAACAGGGCACACAACCTGAGTCACTTGGAACCCAAGGCAACCCAAGGCCTGGTCTGACCACAGAACCCCTGGTCACTCACCTAGAAGGGGCCAGGCCTCAGACTCTGGGCCCTGAGCTTCTGACCCTTAACATCCTTGCTTTATCCCAGAATGGAGCTCAAAGAGGTAGGACCTGCAGAGGGGTCAAGTGACAAAAAGTAAGACTATTGAATCAGAAGATACCCTGTGGAACCCTGCTTGGCCAGCTGCATGGCTGTACACCCTGAGGGGATGATACCCTTTCCCTTCCATTCTCCAAGTTCAGCTCCGTCTGATTCCCAAGCCACGATGCCAGTACCTGTCTCTGCTAAACTGAGTCCCATCACCTTACTCTCTTAATCCCAAGCCAATTTCCTCTTTTCTAAAGGCCATGAGTATTTTATAAACTGCTTTTATATGGATAATTGAGAGCTCAGGGGAGGGCAAAAAATACCCCCCTCTGTATCTATCATAAAGTCTTTGGTCCAAGGCCAAACATTTACCCCATGAATTAATGCAGGACAATCTTCCTGAAGAAGGTCAAAAAAGTACCAGCCTATCTCTAGAGCCTCAGAATTTGTCCTCCTGGTTAAAGGTATTAAAAAAGAGCAATCATCCCATTGCTACTTTCTCTGTGTGTGCACACATGTGTGTACATGCACACATACATGGATGGGCATACACCTGGGTTTGGAAGGGAAGGACAGTGTCCCACCAGGTACCATGTCCAAAGCCACACCAACCATACCAGCATACAATCCTGCAGGCATGACCTGCTTGATCAGGGCTTTTCCATGGCGGCCACTGCACCACTCACTGCTGAAGGCACCAACACCTCCCAGAGCCAGCCTGGGTATGAATCCTGCAACAGGCACTACCGTGCGGCCCCATTTCCAGCCAATGGCACTGCACATGCCTCAAATGCCAAGGTTTTACTAGGACGTGGACGCTTTACAAATGAAAAATCTGAAGCTATTTTTGTTTTTGGCAGAAGAATTTGACAGTGGAAAAGATTTGGCAGTGGGGAGGGGGTGGGGAAGACATTTAAAACAGGTAAGCTCTGAAAGGACAAAGGTAAAAAATTCTGGAAAAGGGAAACACATTTTTTTTTCCTGCTTTCAAAAGTCAGCTGCCCTATTAAACAGCTTCTGTTTTGAAGGTATAAGACCAAAAACAGGAAGAGTGACTACAGAACCCAGCCTAGGGCTTGACACCTAACTTCAGCACAGGCACAAAGCAGCAAAAATGTCATATCCCCAAGGTCTGCCCTTCAATGACCTCCGTGGAGAGTCTCTGGAAACTTACTTTCCATAATCTTATATCACATCCCCCTTGGCTCGGAATGGGGCTGGTTTGGGGACAGGGGAAGGTGCCCAGGATCCAGAGGGTTTCTACTGTGTCCCCAGGGTTTGGGTTGGCAGGCATGAAACCGAAAAGGTGAGTCAAGCTGGAGATCCAAGGGGCACAGGCCTGGGACACAGAGATCCTCTTCTCTACAGTGCCACTCCTAGGCTGGCCAAGGCACTTTCCTGAACTCTTTTTCTTCAACCTCAACAATAAAGGGGAACAAGTCACTAATCTTTCTTCCTCTGGGGGTCCCTGTGTATTGCCTTGTGTTGCATTCAAGTAGAGACAAGAAAAAATTAACACGTAATTCCTTTCCGTGTGCCCATGTATGTCCACAATGGGAAAGGTGCACATGCCTTGCCTTTAATTTGCGCACACCTAGGAGCCCCTTCTACGGACATTAAACATCCATATTCGCTTGAAGTAACAAAAAATAAGGCGGAAATTTATCATATATATTCATGCAAAATACAGCAACACATGCTTGGTCTTACAAACACTGTGCCTTAGGACCCCAAGAAAGTTCAGACGCTCTCTAGCAAGGAATACACTTCTTTTTGCTGTTAAGATTCCAGGTCTGGAACCTCAGCCTGTTGCTGACTTATCAGGACAGCCCGGGAGAAAAGCAGAACATCTTGGATCTGATTCAAATGTCAGCACTAAACAAGCGCAGGAATTTAGTTGATTCCAGGTAACTTCTCTGCCCAGTCCCTTCTGTCCCCCACCCCCAGTGTAAACACCTCGTAAAGCAAGTCACTGGAACCCCTTCACCAGGGCTGCGATGGCCTCTGGTGTCACTGAGAGAGACCTTTCCCAGAGCTTGCAGGGTGGAAGGGGCGCCGGGCAGGACCAGATGGACGGGCCCCCAGCCTCTGGTAGGCACACCGCAGGCTCGCCGGGCTGGAGAACTTTGCAAAGCGCCCCAAACCGCTCCCAGCATCCACTCTCAGCCATTTCTCTCCTTCTCAGCTCACAAAGAGCGGGGACGGTGCAAGCCGCCGCCACCTGCAGCGGGATCCTGAGGCGCTGCCTCTGGCACCCCGGAGGGAAGGCAGGCCAATGGAAAGAGGGCAGAGGTTCACACCCCCACCCCCAAACCTCACAGCGCCTAGCTGCCCGGAGGTGGCTTCACAGCCGGAGGGAACCGACGCCTCCGGACCGGCTGCCGGCTCCCCCACGGCACCGGCCCCACCCCCAATCCTTCCGGCGCCCCAGCGCCCACCCACCCGGGCGCGGGAGTGGGAGGGTGCCTCGTGGGCAGCTGGAGCAACAGGCGTGGGAGCAGCGCTCCTCTCACTTGCTGGCTCCAGAAGGCTCGGTCGCGTCCCTCTTACCTTCCGCGAAGCAAGCCCCAGGCCCCGCGCCCCGCGCGCGCGAGGAAGCTGCGGCCGGGAGCCGGGGGCCGCGGAGGCGCTGAGCGCCCAGCAGCGCGGGGAAGCGCCCAGCCGCTGCCGCTCGCGCGGCTCCTCCTTGCCGGCGAAGTCTTGCTCGCTCCCTCCCTCGCTCGGTGGGTTCGTGCGTCCGTCGGTCCGTGGGGCCCTCCCTCCCCCGCCGCCGCCACCGCCGCCACCGCCGCGGCCGCTCCAGCCCCAGCTCGGTAGCGCGTCCCCTCACCGCCTCGCCGCTCCGCTCACGGGCTCGCAGGCTCCCTCGTTGGCTCCCTGCCCCCGCCGCTGCCGGCGCCGCGCAGAGCGGAGCCCGGCCGGCCACGGGCTGCCTCTCCCGAGGTCCCTCTCTGGAGGAGGTGGTGGGGGCGCGGCGCAGGCGGGGCGGAGAGGAGAGTCCGGGGGAGGCGGCGAGGCTGCGCCCTCGGTTCCCTACCGATCCCCGCCGGCCGGGCGGCCCCAGGCCCGGCCGGAGAGCGCCGAGCAGCCAGGCAGCGGAGGGAGAGAGGAGGAGGACCTGGAGCCTCGCCGCGGGAGGGTGCCCAGGGCGAGGGCGTGCGAGGGGGAGTGACTCCGCGCGCGAGGGTGTGTGTGAGTGTGTGTGTGTGTGTGTGTGTGTGTGTGTAGAGGGGCGCGCGCGTGAGCGGTGATTGGGGGGGAGGGTGGGGGGCGGGGAGACTAGGCAGAGCCTGGTGCGTCTCCCCGGGCGAGTGAGGAATCCTAGGGTGTGCCTGAAGGTGGTGAAGTGTGCCGACGCGGGTGTGAGCGCGTGTGCCGGCGAGGGTGGGCACCAGGGTGAGCGTGGCAAGGTGAGCTCGGCCTGGAGGTGGGGGAGGAGCGGGGAGTACTGCGTGAGCGCGTGTTCGGGGGCGTGTGTGGCCGGAGACCCAGGGAGGGGTGGCAGGGAGGGGTGGCAGGGAGTGCCGGTGTGTGCGCGCGTGGTGTGTGTGCACCTAGCAGGGTGTTTCTCATTCACTGTCCACGCGGCAGCAGCACCTGCTTGAGGCCAAGCCTGGCCACCTGGCGAGGTGGAGCCCATCACCGCGCAAGCTTCCGGGCTAGCCCCGGGCGCTGTTTGTACCAGGGCTGGAGAGATCCCGGGAGGTTGGAGTGGGGGACACACGGCCCATATCCCACCGAAGTGCTGCTCTCCTGCTGGAGTGCAAGGGCATGGCCCAAAGGTCGGGATTTGCTCTTCTAACCCGCCACGTGTACCCAGTACCCAGAATCATGAGTCCGGACTTGGGAGCGTGAATTCACACCTGAGCCGGTCCCTTTCCTCCCAGAGCCGGCCCAGCCCCAGTGACCCTTCCTGAAGCCCTTAGATCCTCACTGCTTGTTCCCTTGACCTAGAATGGAGAGTGGGAAGTTGGCGTGCGCCCCCAGGGCCGAATGTCCAGCTCCTGTTCCCACCCTCAGGGCGGTGGCGCGCAAAGGGCTGAATCCCTGCTGCTGTGCTGACCCGCGGCTCCGACTTTCCCTGTTGTCTGTCGCCTCAGTGCTGGGAATCCCAAGATCTCGGCCTGCCGCTCCTGAGGTGAGACAGCTGCTTGCCTTTGCCAGGACCGGAACGCTAGGCTTGAGCGATCGCAGTTCTGAATGTGGAGAGGTGGGTGCTGAGACATACACCGAGAGCAATACAAAGTGTTTGGCGAGGGCGAGATTGTACTTGCCAGGGCAGCTCTAGATCAGGCGCTGGAAAAAGACCTTCCGGAGTACAGAATGGGGCTTTTGGCTTGTGACAAACCCTAACTGTCTTTCAGATTAAGAGGTGAGTGTCCGTTATTGTGATCTGAGCTTACAAGGACTATTGTGAGACCTTGGAGACTTAGAACCCCTAATTCACACGTGCCCTCTCACTGGGTGCAGAGCCCCTTTCAGTGTGTCAGTCTGAAAGGTGCACAATTGGCCTTTCAAGAGGTGGGCGTGGGCCTCATTAGCATTTGCCTGGAATCTCTGAGCTGTGTGGGATTTGCATACTGATTTGCATACAGTAATAATGATTAACAACACTGCCACTCCCTGGCAGACCAGGGAAGAATTCAGGGAAGGCCCTGGCAATGATCCCACCTCTCTCCTCCCCTCTGGGGAAGAGCTGATTTTCTCACAATTGCCGTCCTCAACGGCTGTGACCCCTAGAAGGTGCCTCAGTCTCTGGGTAGGCAAGTCCCAGAAGGGACACTTTCCTTTGGTCTTCCACCCCATGTCCAACTTGGGTGAGTTGAATCCCACTCCTTTACTTCTACTCAGGTTTGAATCCCTGTACATTCCCATTGTTTTGCATCTTTGCCAGTAGCTCAGGGGCTGGCCCCTGGAGACTTCAGAGGACAGTTAGGCTGGGGACTTCGTTCCTTCCCCAGAGTGGTCAACTAGTGGGACAACTGTGGCCTCCTGGGACTTGTAAGCCCTGTGAAGCCAGGACACTCATTCAGAAACTCCTTGCTCCATTCCTCCCAGTCTAAGTGAACTAAGGGTGGACTGTTCTCTCTTCTGAGACTGTTCTCTCTCCAGGTTCTAGAGATGCATATGAGAGACTTGGATTTCTAGTCCAGGCCAGTGTGGATTTTATTTACAACTCTTCCCATAGCCAGGTGACCTGGAAAATAACAGTGAGCGAGGGGAGAAAGGATGTCCCTGGGCCACTAGAGGATCCACTGTCCAGGGGATGCTGGTACTCCCTGGTCCCCCAGCCCTCCATTGCATCGTCCAGTACTGCCTGTTCTCCTTCCCCCTCTGCCTCTGGCCCAGCCTGGCCGGGATTTTCACTTGCTTTTCCCCCATGACACGGCCGCTTTTCCTTTAACTCTCAGCTTCTATTTAAAAAGCTAATTTGGGAGCTTGTCGATGCTCCCAATTCAGACATTTTAAATAGGAACTGAAAACCAGGAGCTGCCAGGGCACTAGATTTTCTCCTCTTGCCACTGGCACGGCTGAGGCTTCGTTCAGTTTCTCCACTAGCGCCCTGGCTGTGTGTGTCTCTGTGTGTGTGACGCCCGCAAGCTCAGAGAGTATTTCAGGCTATCTTTTCTATTTAAAGACGATGCTCCTATGGATGACTATTCTGTGTGTGTGTGTGTGAGTGTATGTGTGTGTCCTTTCCAAGCTGTGCACACATGAGGATTCTTCTTTAGTCCCCTGGCTCTGGCCGCTATTTGCAGAGCTTGTCACCGTGTGGACCGTGAGGGTAAGCAGCAGCCTCGCTCAAAGTCGGCTGCCTCTTTGCTGACATGCCAAGCCGATGTGTCTGCTGCTGTTTCCAGGGGCTGCTCTGCTTAGGCTTGCTCTTTGAAGCTTGCCTCAGAGTATGCTAAGGGTCGCTCCCACCCTCACTGCTTGTGGCTGTCCTACTTCAGCAATCTGTTCCATCCTGGGGCAGAAATTTTGGATTTGTGGGCCTCTACTTCTGAGGGTTATGACTTTCTACATTCAGAGTACTGTGTACCTTGCAGGTAAAAAACATAGATTCTGAGGTTGGAGCTGTCTGGATTTGAACCTGTATTTGCTGTTACCTAACTGTGTGAACTTGGGGAAGCTACTTAATCTCTCTGTGCCATGATTTCCTCATTTATAAAATGGCAATAAATAATACCATTGCATAAAAGGGTTATTCTGAAGATTAAATGAACTATCATAGATAAAGCATTTAAAACAGCACCTGGCACATTGTAAGAACAATATGATCTTTGGTGGTTGTTGTTATTGTTGTTTAAAATAGCGGTGTTGCAGGCAGGAGAAATGTAGCTAAGGAGGAAGATAGAACTGCCAGATTGTACACACACACACACACATGCATATAACAATAAAAATGCCAAACCACAATCCCCAATGAGTCAAGTTTACCTTGCTGGGAGAGCCGATTCCCTAAGCCCCAGAAGAGGGAAGCTTCCCTCAAAGGAATGGAGGAAGAGTCTTAGGGGTGAGGATGAGGAAGGAACTTCCCCTTTCAGAAGTCCATGGGGAATTTCCTATGGGCCAAGTTCCAGGACCCTTACTGTTAATTCTTCCCCAGCCTCCCTGGTTTACCTGACCACATAAAGTCAGGATTTCTGGAAGTGGAGCCATAGTGAGGCACTTAGGAGGGGTGGCCCCTCATTAACTCCTTGGGCTTGGAGTCCTCTCACTCGGATACTGCCCCTGCCTCCCACCCCCGATCCACCGCTGGACATATGAGTATTGACTCAGTTGCCATCAGAGTCACCTCCATCTGTGAGCATATGAGGAAGAAGATGGGGCCCCAAAGAGGCCACCAGCAGGAAGAGGAGCTACCAAGGATGGAGGACCGGAAGGCTGCCTGAGAGACCCAAAGCAATGGGCAAGTCCCGGATTGTATCAGACTTTGCATATTAATCTTAAGTCAAGGAGCTACTCTATGCTTTGATCCTGGGTGGTCGATATCACCAGTTTTATGGATGGGAAACCAAAGGTAGTGGTGGCATTGCCACGGGGGTGTGAGGCTGAGTAGCTAGCAGAAAGCTCTCAACTCTCCCTCCTGCCACCTCCCAGGACGCTGACTCCCCTCTCCTGTGAGCAGAGGGCCTCCACCAGACAGGGTCTGCCTACGGGGACACGTGTGGCCTGGCTCTGCTGGCCTCTCCT